TTGGTAGGATGACTCTTGCAGAACGCGACGTGACCATAGCAGCACCTCATGATACTCTTCGCACATCCTCTTATCTATTCACTCTCAATTACCACTGCGATCGCTTTTCACTCATTCAGTCTCAGTTCTAGTAACGGTGACGTGTGCAAGCCTCAGTTGTCTACACTCTCACTCCCCGGCGCGTGGGATCACAGCGTAAATAGAAACATTCATTCTCACTCACTGACTCCGCAGCTAATCCTTGTCTACGCGTGCATGTCATTCTCATCACTAGCTTCCCCAGTGTATACGACCCATCTGCTGTCTTTAACATCAATCAATTCATTCACGGATGTAGATATCAATGGAGTTGAAGATTGAACGATCAATTCATGGTTGTTTGCTCAAAACCAACTTCCCCAATTTTCGCGGAGGCATCAATATGACAGTCATCGTCTCATCGGTCGCTGTTCAGAAAGAAGAGTGAAACATTGTCAGAAGTAATACAATGATATATTATTGTAATATTTGTTTTCAGACCTTAGTTCGCTTATTCCTTTTATATGTTGGTGTAACAATAAACAAATCTAAAGCGGCAGATCAGTGTTTTGGTTTTTTCGTCCGCTATAACTAAGCGTTTCTGAAATCTTCGAAGAACAGCGTGGGCCCGAGCGTAGCGAGAGCTGGCCATTAACGGTTTATGAGACGTGATTGACAGTTTCTGACGATGGAAACAGATCTGGCGGATTCAAATAGTTGGTGAAAGTTTGGATAGTCGCCGTTCATCTTTCCCCGTGCCGGTCAAGTCCTCTTTGAACAAGCAATATCTGGAACTTTTTCGAATTGGGTCAAGTTCAACAATGCCTGGGTCAAAGAAGGGACAGAGTGTCTTGGATGCAAACAGGAAAGTAAGTCATGGTGACTTGTCTGTTAATTGTAACGATGTGTCTGATGTTAAGCATGACATGGTTGATGTTACTGTTTCGCCGTTCAGGGATAATAGGAACATCAAACTCCCTAAATTTGAACCACGGTGTTTTGATGGAAACCCGGCTGATTATTTACAATTTGTAAAGGAGTTTGAGATGATGTTGAGTGGTTTTTTATTAAATGATGAATTGAAGTTAATGTATTTGATGAGATATTGCACTGGAATTGCTGCAAGAGCTATACAGTGTTGTAAGTTTATGAAGCCAAAAGAGGGCTACTACGAGGCTATGAGCATATTACGTCAAAGGTTTGGAAGACCTTCGATGATTGCAGGGAAATTATTCGAGGCTGTTAAGGGTAATGGTGGTCAATTACAGGATGACTCCCAGGCACTCACTGAGTTTTTAGATAATTTGCTAATTTACAAGAATGGAATGATTTCGATGAATCGAATGAGTGACCTCAACTCGAGTTTCATACTAGAAGTAATAGCAAGACGTCTACCTACTCGACTGCAAAGGAAGTGGGTGAAGATGAGCTCCCGTATGGAGGATGAGGGTATCGAGCCAAAGTTTGATGATATCCTGAAACTGGTAAATACTAGCGTCAATCAATCTATGAGCAAGTTTTCCAGTCTATTAGATCTCACCCCTAGAATAGAGCAGTCTGAGGGTAAAAACGCAATCATTGATGACGAATAAGCCTCAGAGAGGTGGATATCGAGGAGGCCCCATGATATCTAGTAATGCATATACATAGATCTAGTGAGTGTAACAGGTTTCGTAGTACATCCTCAACAGATAAGTTACAAGATGCAAGACAAACACGGTTTTGTTGTACACGTTTGCAAGAGGTGCATACAAAGGTGAGCTGTGAACCAGTGAGCAAGTTCAGTGATAAGCTCAATGTAAACTCCAGGCCTGACTCCGAATTGTGTGACGAAAACGGTGTTGTGAAGAAGTCTGTAGTTGCAACTGGTAAGCCATTGTTGAATAGAGTGTCACAGAATAGAGTTACTGCTTCAGAGTCCAGTTCTGACTCCACAAGTTTACAAAGTATAACTAGTCAGAGTGAAGATATAAAACCTTTAATGATTTGTGAGGAGGAACCAAAATTGTCTACTTCTGTTATTAAAGAGTTTGAAAATGATGAAGTTGACGGTAAAGTGAATATTCGTGATAATGATCATGATACTTCACAGTTGTCTTTGGTTGATCATGATGAGATGAGGGATATGCCTACTACTGCTAAGTTGAACAAAGGTTCTGCACAACTTGAACGTGAAGTAGAAATAAATGCAGATTCAGTTGCAGAAGGCATGCATACTTGTGAGACCGTCAGTGTAATTGATCAGCGTGTAGCCCACCTATCATCTGATGATAGTGCTAAACCCGAACTAGTAGTGAAAGACAGCAGTGGTGGTAATCTTGCAGTTGGACAACTATCTGAGATCCGAAAAAGAACAGCTTTTGATCCACCACTAAGTTCATCAACTGGTACCAATCAGTCGTCGTTGGTGCTGTCATCCACAATGAAACAGACACCCATCAACTCAAGTATCTTGTGCAATGACTATGGTAGTATCAGTTCGTTTGAAAGGACGAATATCAATGGTCAGTTTAGTGTGGATAAGCCAAGTGTAAAGGAGAGAGTTATTGTTAAATTGACTTGCACGAATAAAGGCATTTCTAGTTTCAAGTTACTATTTGAATGTTATTATCTTTGGTGTAAATTACTCTGTTTCTATACTTGGTTGATGAGATATGTCGTGTGTTTGTTCGTCATCTATATTCTACGATACAATGACATGGGCGTGTTGCCGTTCAGATTTGAGGATATAGCTGATAGAAGGAAGTTAGTAAATGAACTCTTTGACGATTTTCCAACCGAGGGCGTCAACCTGAGAAGGGTTGTAGGCATACTGCTGTAAGTCCTACAGTTCTTCAAAGGGTAGCGCATCAATGAGCAGTCCAACGTGCTTGGTGTGTGATTTTGTACATATGTTCAAGTTGTATATACTGAATTGATATCATCTGTCATCTAGCTGTTGGTAATTCTGTTTGTGTCCGGACGACTTCCGCTTGTGTCATCAACCTGAGAAGTAATGTAGGCGTACTGCTGTAAGTCCTACAGTTCTTCAAGTGTAGTTTGTTGTACCAGAATCCACAACATTTGATGTGTTGATTGTACATATGTTTGTGTTAAATAATTGTGTGAGTTCCAATTGATGTAATTGTTGGTTAATCTTGTTTGTGTCCGGACATTCCACAAATTACAATCGTCAACCTGTGAAGGGTTGCAGGCGTACTGCTGTAAGTCCTCCAATTCTTCAAAATAATTCCACCAAGACATGATCCGCGAGGCTATTTGTACTGTTTGTGTATACGTGTGGTGTGTCTTCGCAATTTGTGATTTTGGATCAGTTGTGTTTACTCGTTGTTTTCGTACCTTGTTGTTATTGCGTAATTTTGTTAAACCTTTCGTCGTGATTACTTCTGAAGTTGCTTCTAGTCTTCTACGTCCATGAATGAATTGATTGATGTTAGAGACAGCAGATGGGTCGTATACGCCGTGGAGGCTAGGCTATTGCTGAGAATGACATGCACACGGAGATAATTGTTAGCTGTGGTCCGACACGCCGGGGAGAAAGAGTGTAAACGACTGAGGCTCGCATGCGTCACCGCTACTAGAACTGAGGCAGAATGAGTGACAAGCGATTGCAGTAGTAATTGGTAGTGAGTAGATAAGACGATGTGCGTAGAGTATCATGAGGTGCTGCTATGGTCACGTTGCATTCTGCAAGAGTCATTCTAGTAAGTGGCGATTGTGTTGCAAGATGTCAAGAGGAGGACTCCGTCTGGATGCGCAGGTCGTCATTGATGTGGGAGATTGTGCTGTGGGTATGCTTGTGGTGTGTTGGCTTTTCTGTTTGTTTTCCATTTCAGCTCTGTCCGTGTGACCCAGGTTCTCGCAATGGCATCCAAGTCAACGTGCATTGGTCGTGAAGGAGAAAAGGGTTGGATCCCTATTTTGCCGGGGAGTGTCAATGGAGTTGAAGATTGAACGATCAATTCATGGTTGTTTGCTCAAAATCAACTTCCCCAATTTTCGCGGAGGCATCAATACGACAGTCATCGTCTCATCGGTCGCTGTTCAGAAAGAAGAGTGAAACATCGTCAGAAGTAATACAATGATATATTATTGTAATATTTGTTCACAGACCTTAGTCATACTTGATTTATATGTTGGTGTAACAATACAGAATACTCAAGTCAACAATTGGTGTTTTGGTTTTTTCGTCCGTTGTTACTAAGCGTTTCTGAGAAACTTCAGGCGACAGCGTGGGCCCGAGCGTAGAACGAGCTGGGCATTAACGGTTTACGAGACGTGACTGACAAACTGTGATCAAAAACTCTTTTGACCTCAGACTTTCAAAATTTGTCTACTTTTGTTAAAATATATGTGTAAATGCAGTATATGCAGGATACAATGGTGTGTGTGTATGTGTGTGTGGGTGGAACAGTCATAAAACATTTGCTATTCTCATATGAGCTGTGATCAAGATTTGACCGAATAGTTACAAAATAATTGACATTTGTATGAATATAATTTAATTTTTATAGATTTGTTATTCTCTCCATAAGAATACGTAGACAATCGGGAGTTTGACCAAGTGTGACTACTTGTTCATACATATCAAATTTTTACTTTATTTATTAATCAGGATTTGCCATGCATCAGCTAACATCACACCTTCACGTCTGTTTAAACTGTTGGGATTCACCCATATATGTAGGGCTTCTGCAGTCAGTCTTTCTTGATATGAACCAAAACCTTTCTGTAAAACCTTAGTCTTATCAAAGTCGATTTTGTGTCCCGTTTCTATTGAATGCAGTGCAATCGCTGAGTTGTTTTCTAGCTTCTTCAAGTTTGCAGAGCTCTTTGGAACCACCTTTAGACATTGTTTATGCTCTTTCATTCTTATATTTACCTGTCTAGAAGTTTCTCCTACATATACTGCGTTACAATCCCCAGAATTGATCTGGTATACGCAATTCTGCTGGTTTTCTTGTTCTATTTTATCCCTAACCGTCATAATCAAAGGAAGTTTGTTAAATGAACTTTTTCACTTTATAAACAATATGTCGGAAACCATCAAGTTCTCCAAAGAGGTTGAATCTGATGAAAATAAGTTGGCGTTTCTGGACTGTTTAGTAAAAAGAAAATTAGACGGCAAATTTAAAAAAAACATTTTCAGAAAGCCGACAAATTCGGATAGATACCTAGATTACCATTCGGCTCACCCATTTACCACCAAAGTAACTGTGGCCAAAAATCTGATCAACAGAGCCAAACGTCTAGTTACTGAGGAGGAAGATATTAACAAAGAACTAAAATTAGTTCAATCCACTCTTGAGTCAAATAATTATCCTAAAGCCTTCGTATAAAGATACTTAAAATGTGAAGATAAGGATGAATCAAAACCTGCTGCTATGAATTGGGTTAGTACAGCGGTGGTTCCTTACCGCAAAGAAACATCCGATGGAATAAAGCGAACCCTTAACGAACATAAGAGTGTACTTTCGTGCATCTAACACCTTACGCTAACTACTGGTGAAGGTTAAGGATAAAATAGAACAAGAAAACCAGCAGAATTGCATATACCAGATCAATTCTGGGGATTGTGATGTCGTATATGTAGGAGAAACTTCCAGACAGGTAAACGTAAGAGTGAAATAGCATAATGAATGTCTAAAGGTGGTTCCAGAGACCTCAGCAGACTTGAAGAAGCTAGAAAACAACTCAGCGATTGCACTGCATTCAATAGAAACGGGACACAAAATCGACTTTGATAAGACTAAGGTTTTACAGAAAGGTTTTGGTTCATATCAAGAAAGACTGACTGCAGAAGCCCTACATATATGGGTGAATCCCAACAGTTTAAACAGACGTGAAGGTGTGATGTTAGCTGATGCATGGCAAATCCTGATTAATAAATAAAGTAAAAATTTGATATGTATGAACAAGTAGTCACACTTGGTCAAACTCCCGATTGTCTACGTATTCTTATGGAGAGAATAACAAATCTATAAAAATTAAATTATATTCATAAAAATGTCAATTATTTTGTAACTATTCGGTCAAATCTTGATCACAGCTCATATGAGAATAGCAAATGTTTTATGACTGTTCCACCCACACACACATACACACACACCATTGTATCCTGCATATACTGCATTTACACATATATTTTAACAAAAGTAGACAAATTTTGAAAGTCTGAGGTCAAAAGAGTTTTTGATCATAGTTCATACAATTTTTGTTTTGTTTTGTTTAGTATACCTATTGATTCATATTTAAAAATAAGAGATGTACTTTTATATAAACATACAATTCTATTTATTTATTTATTATACATATTGATAAGTGTTGCATGACTCATGATTGGACAAATTTAAAAAAAACAATAGGTGTCCCTTTATATATAAACCTTTGTTATGTTAATTTCGATTAATTTCCCCGAAGAAGTTGGGACCAGATTGCCCAACGAAACGTTGGAATCAATCATTTCAATTTCGCTGAGATTTTACAAATATAACTTCACAATTTCTTTTGTTGTGAAACTAGGTTTTTATTATACAAATTAGTTGTCCGACCTATCTTGGAATACTGCCCATTTTTTCTTAGCGGATTCGGGCAAAATGACGAGCTTAAATTTGAGTGGGTGCAAAGGCAATTTATCTGAAGAGCTGTTGGTTTATTAAGTGGTCTCGAATACTATGAACGTTGCGGCAGACTAAGATTAGAACAACTCTGGAAAATACGTCTTAAGCTACACCTTATGTTTTGCTACAAGCTAACTAATCTTCTCTTCCATTTCTCCGAGCCAATAACTAAACCTACCGCCGTCATCAGTTACAATCTTAGAAATCATCACAACCTAGTTGCTATAGAGCACTGTCAGACTTGCATGTTGTACAACTTCTTCTTAAATGAGTTTTCACTCATTTGGAAAAGACTAACAGCTGATGTGAGTGATGCAAACGCACTCACAGTGTTCATCTCCTCAGTCACCAGACTGCAAAGATGACAATTCACTTCTGCGTCTGGCTCTTACACCCTCTTTTTTGCCGCACACAGATATTGTAAGTTCATTAAACGTGTAGTTACAACAAATTACAATTATAAGTTTTAATATTATTGGAATTACATGATAGACATTTCCACACAGTACAGTAATATTAGTTCACACAATATAAAAGATAGCATAACGGGACCAGTTACTACACAGGATATATATGTATATATTTAGTAATCACTCCTTGAGGACTCCACTCGCTTTCTTTTGCGTTGCTGTTGTTTGTCTTCTTTTTTCTCTCACCATTTCAGCCTCCATTTGACTTTTTGAATGAGAATGAAGAATGTGGATATTAGACCATTTACAACAACAAATGATCTGCAAATATTATCGGTCCCATATCTTACAATTCCTTGGTGAATTACGCATTACCTTCCCACACGACGCAACCTGGATTACAGTCGTGGAATATACCTTTATACCAATAAAAAGTATTAATTTATAAAAGTTCACCATTGTAGTTTACAACATAACTGATCGCGTCTGTAAAAATAGCTTGCATTTCTTGAAAAGACCCGTTTATAAGAAAATATATACTATCATTGTGTACGGTTCCCTTGTGCTGTTACGATGAAAATGCTGACAAAACCATACAAGTGTAACATTTATTTTAAATTGTCACCAAATTTGGATATAAATCAAGAATAAGGCCCGATGCCATACACACCTAAGTTATTGGGGGAATTACTTCAAGCTTTATTTTTTCCCAAGTATTTGTGATCCATCCAAAACATACTTGGGTGTTTTTGTTAATGCGAAGAAAATTGTTAAGGAATATGAACATTGAACGTTTGTTCATTGACCCAGATAGCCATTGGCGGGCAAGTCGAAGGCGTGAATGGTTCAATCGTGTACAAGTTGAAAGAAGACGAAAGAATACAAATAAAAGTATTATACATTATTCGTAAAACATTTGTTTGGAGACTCTGTACGGATTTTTGATTTTAACCGTCGAAGAATACAATTTCTTACTGGTTCTTGTATTTTGGATCTAAAGTCAATAATTGTACCTAGTATAGTTGTCGGTTCATAGCGTCTTCGAAAGTGATAGGAACTTAGGTTTAGTTCCTTGACAACAATATTTCTGTATTTCTTGATTTGCTTCATTGAATGACTAGTTATCATATTGTTCCCACAAACCAAAGACAAAACGATAGCAACCATGTAATTTAACCATAAACCAAATTTATGCAATTTATATAGTAGTTGTCCATGCCTGTACAATTGGTGTGTCCTACACAGGTAAGAAAAATATGTATCTTATGAAATAATTATTAAATATGCTTACTAATCGTATATGTAATTTATCATATTGATGATGCCTGAAGACTGTCGTCCCTCATGTACAAAGTGAGAATATATTATTATAATCTTTCGCCACATGTGGAATTGCAGTGCGAGTCGATACGCAATAAAATATAAAAGAATAAACCGAAAAATAAAGTCCTCAACTTCTAAACAACTTTTCCTTATTCCGAGATAATAAATTTCTTTCACCTATAAGCTTAAGTTATGTCCATGAAATCGCAATATTACATCAGTTAAATCTTCCACCAAAATCAAGGCCACTTGAAACCCATAGCAACATAGCAGCGGACATCTTAGCGGGGATATGCAATAAAGAATCTCCAAAAGCAGTATCAGGCATAACGAAACATGGTGTATATCGAATCGGCCGAAAGCATGACCCTACGGTAAATCAGCCTTCGATAAAGCTCCGAACAAAAGACTACCAATGAAGTTGAAAAATCTTGGTATCAAAAGCAGGTTACTAGCCTGGATTAGGGAATTCCTCATAGGTAGGAGGTAGAGGGTTAGGATCAGCTCGAAACTCTCCCTCTAGACAGCAGTGCCTAGCGAAGTGCTACAAGGCATGGTACCCGGACCTCTCCCATTTATTTTGTATATCAATGAGTTATCTTTGCTCACCGATTCCCCTGTGGTCCTATAGGCAGATGACTTCAAAATTTGGAGAGAGCTAAAGGGCAGCAGTGATGCTTCCAAGTTCCAAGAGGACCTCAACAAATTGCCAGAGTGGCTCATAGAATGGATGCTGCCAATGAATGTGGCTAGCAAGCATCCGCTCCCACGAACTAGAAGGAATAATACTCCCATCAGCTCAGACTTACTTGGACTTTGGTGTCACAGTTAGCCACGATTTAAAAACTACAGCACACTGTCGCTTGGTGACTGCATGCGGTTTCAGGTTCTTATGAGCAATTTTCAGAGCCTTTACTAGAGTCACCAGTTTTCAACATTTTCACTCAACTTATGAGTACAGTCCGCCATGCAGACACAAATGGAGCAAATGGAGAATTCTGGAATCGACATCGGCACCATTTGATGCAGTAAAACAACTTAATATGCCCTTATCTAGTTTTCGCATCCACGATCAAATTTCTTTCCTGTTATAAAACTACGATAAGACTGCTGAAAAAGTGGAATAAATATATCACTGATCTCAACATAATACATCAATAAACTTTAAGCCAAAGGTGCTGTTCACAACAAAGTTATATAGGAGAATTGACTTCAAGCTTTATTTTTCCCAGATATTTGTAATACATCCATCTGATGTCTGGGTGTTTTGTTAATGCGAAGACAATATTTCTATATCTCTTTATGTGCTACACAAACGGACTTTGAAGCAGACTGTTCCGACTGACTCCAATGTCAGAAAGAACAACCACACTGTAAATTCATCACACACCAAATTATGTGTAATTTATATAATAACTTATCCATGCCTGTACAATTGGTATGTTCCTGCATGAACAGGAAGAAATAAATATTAATGAGAAATTTCATTTGAAAAGCACATAAAAAACATAAATGGTTACTGAACCAACGTAGCAGTGGACGTGAACGCGAAAGTTAGCGGGGATATGCAATAAAGCGACTCGTCTCTGAGTGATAGTAGTGTTGTTCTATTCGATCTCTGGTTCTGGCATTTCGTTTGTTTCCTGCTCAGTGAGCGTTGCATCTGAAGCAAAAATAGAAAAGCTTGAGACTCCATGGTATGTTCCTGCATAAGCAGGAAGAAATATATTATATATATGGCAAACCTTCGCACAACGCTTTGCTTGTTCAGACGCGTACGATGAATAGAAGAAGGAACATAAGCAAAATATAATTTTTCTAAGAGTTGTGAAGGTAAAAATTAATGTGTGCCAGTTGCACGGTGGAATGCTCAAAGGCTACTTTGGATCATGCTTTGTTGCCAATGCAATGCTCACAATCACCTACATAACGTCGGTCGATTTGTCCGTATTCATTCATTCCCACCACGGATTCCTCCAACTTTTGCATGAAAAGGGGGCAGCTGAGGATGAAACTAAGGTAAAAACTGCAAAACCTCTAAAAATGCGAAGACGTCTTACAAGTTTTGGCCCTGAAAAGCCTAATGTAACCCCAACTTTAGTAGCGCGTGAATCATACTCTTGTGCCCAGTCGCATGCACAAAGAA